TTTTTACTGGGAAAAAAAAAATAAATTCTAAACGGGATGTACACAATAAACTTTCAAGTTTTTTTTGCATCAAAACCAGAGTCTTTCTACAGCAATGGCATTAAAAAGCTGCCTGTAAGATGACGAGACATTGTAGATAATGGAGGAAAATATATAAATGATTAAAATGTTAAATTGTGTTTTTTTATATTATTTAAAAATTTACCAAAAAATAAGCACGAATTTATGGACTGACGCAATAATATCTTTTTAAAATTGAGTGGTGTGTCATTATCCTGTATAACATATGTTTGTGAGTTCATTCAATAAACTCTATATTACATAGCAATGACTTGAAAATTTATGGATGTCTTCTTACAGGAAATCTCTACATCTCAAACTGTCTCAGCAGAAAGAGATTCCGTAGATGGAGGATTTTTTACTGGTTGGAGAGGGCATTATTTTAACAATCACTGTATTAGCCATTAAACACATGATTTATCTATTTCTGTACAATATTTCGGTCTTTTTCTTTTTTGGTACTTCACTATATTTTGGTAAACACTCATCAATAAGTCATGAAAACGTATTGAAGAAGTAATGCACCATGTTGTCAAAAGCATTTATGTAGCAACCCATGATGTCACCAAAAAGCATTTATGTGGCAACTCATGATGTTGCCAAAAAATATTTATTGTACAACCCAGGTATGTGTGCAGCATTCCCCCAGACAGTTTTTCACTTTTCCAGACATTTTCGCTAGTGTGATTGCAGATTATGATCCCTCCCCTGGAAATTTTAATGTTTTAGCCTAGTGTTGGACAGCATATTGCAGTTTTCATTGTCTTCGGTAAAATCTCAGATTTTGCTTTCTGCATGCATAGAGTGTAATTTGGCTTGCTTAAAGACAATATGTGTCTTTAAGCTCATTTCAGAATTTTGGGGCCAAGTTTGTGCAATTACGATGTTTCCTTGAGTAAAAACAGAAGAATGTGTAAATGATGAAAGCAAAAGCACAAAAACTTGAAAGTATGTGTGTCTTACACAGAAAAAGAAGAATGAAAAAAAAAAAAAAAAAAAAACAGGTGGCAATGGATGTAGCATTGAAATAGATGTAACAATACCCAAACAAATGTTTCTAATGATACAAATGAGTTATTACAGTTTAAGGCCAAATGATCATATAAAATATGGATATCTAGACATGAAAATCAATCAATAACACATATTACAGATAATGAATAATTTTACCTATAGTTCAACAAAATTTTTAAAAGTACCTTAAAATATTTGATTTACTATAACTGTAAATATTGCATTCAAATTTAAAATTAGGTTAGGTTATTTGAATATGGTAAAATACACAAGGGCTAAAAGCTTAAAGGGAGAGATAACTTCATGGAGATCTTTCTAAGGGAAACTAGCTTATATACATGTTGCACATGAGGAAAACCAATCATGCAGCCAGACAGGTTGAACTACCAGGTTTCAGTGGTCATAACTTAGCAACCACTGGTAAGGCACAAATTCAATATACATTAACGGTATTTTCTTATCATAGAAGTAAGTGACTTAAAGTAGCCAACTGGTAAAACTGAGGAACATTGGTATTTCAACCCAATTTCAAATCCCTGTAAATGGATGCTTTTTTTTTCATGAATAACATCAAAGCAAGTGATTTTTCTTATGAAAAGCCTTCCACAAAGGCATCCCTTCTCGTAGACAAATGGCTCTTTAATCCTTTGTTATAATCTAAGTAATGCATAAGTAATCTAAGAAGAAGAGCTTTCTCTAGATCTTCTTGGGACACACTTCTCATGTGTTTCCCTCCTCTAGCAAATTAAGATTTTTTCCCATGAATCTAAAGTTGATTCCTTGTTTTTCAATTAAGTTGACAAGGTATTTTTTTTTTTTTTTTTAAATCCATAGTCAGCTGCCAATTTTGTTTTACCTTCACCATTTGCCACTTTAAAATTTTTACCTTTGTCTCCAAAGTTTTGTACTTTCCATGTGTAGACATCCTGAATTTTTAAATGTTCACATCACACACTGCAGAACAAAAACTAGAGCACATTAACTTAACTTGCACTGCAGGCATAACTGACATAGCTCTTTAGAATTTGTAGTAAAGACAGGTTTTCCTGAAATTCTAAGAAAATTAATAACTAATAAACAAATGATTCTCCCCTTACCATGACCCATTCATAAAGTGTTCTGAATGAATCCAAGGAAACAGGTTAAGCCAGGGAGCTTTGTCCATTAAGCACTGATAAGAGGTGGACACTATGATAAAGTCACTAGTGGAAATGCAGGCATGTTCCTCTTTACACAGAAAAGAAATACAGATGTTTTTAACGCATAAAATAATAAATATATCACCGCCATGAAACGAGAAGAAAAAAAATTTTTTGTCAAATGTTTAGTTCAAATTAACCAAAGGGAAAAATATTTAGTTTGAATTAATGAGATATTTTTAACATTAATTCCAATATAAGTTTTTTGGGGGTCTTTAGATTAGTTTGAATTAACCAAATTCAAATTAACAAGCAGCCACTGTAAATTCTTTTGAATATCCAGAACTTTAGTATTCCATAAAAAAACAAAGGCAATGCTGCCATACAAAAGTGCATTGAGGGCCACATATAAAATCTGATAATTATTAATTGCTTCAATTTGACTTATATTATTAAGATGCATGATAAAAGTACATTAACATTTTAAAGCAAAACATACTTACTAGGAAAAAATATCAGCATAAAATTTTTAATATGAGCACTGAGCTTGATTTTTTTAAATACTTGAGAGCATCTTCTTTGACAAACATAATAATGATGCTTACAAGATGTTTGCTTCAAATTTTGCTCATTTTATTTTTTCTGTGCATCATGTAATAAAATTTTTATTCAAATATACTAAATTTCAACTTTCAATAAAAAAAAATTGCATTTATTTTAAATTTTTGAATTATGCATATTTTAAATTTGCGAAATAACAAAATACAAACAGCCCATATTTTTCAACTTTATAGTATACTGGCAAAGAAACTGAAGTATTCAAAATTAGGAAGGAAAAAAAAAGCCCATATTGTGCATAAAACTATTGATTTTGAAGGTGATCAAACACAGATCCCCCTTTGCCAGGAGCCTAAAAAAATTTAGTTTCTGATGACGTTGATATCATTATAAACAATTATGACGAACAGATATTTATCGGCAAGTTAGTGCCAGTGGTCTTCGGGGTGTATAGTGGTAGCAGAATAAGTATCCATTATTACGCAAGTATTATAAATTGATTATGTTTTAGTAGCAACTATATAAATTTTATTCACAAATTGGCAGATGATGATGAATGATGTGATATGGAAAAAAAAAACAGCAACTACAAGGTTGTTCAATAAGTTCACAGAGTGCCATCTATTCGTCAATATTAGATCTAAAACTTCGACACCATTTTCATATTTGTTCTTTCTTAGGAACACATCAAAAGTTTCATTTCGATCTGTTAATTTATTCATTGTTTAACTGCCCTTTATATCTAACATGTTGTGCCTTTTTTCAGGTATGGATAAAATTGAGCAATGTGCATTATCAATTTGTAAAGAAAGGTTTAAAGGCAATGGAAATTCATACCCAAATGGTGAATGTGTTTGGTGAATCTGCTCCTTCAAAAACAATGGTTTGCAAATGGCTAGTTTATTAAAAAGTGGTCATACCAGCCTTGAAGACGATACGCGAGAGGGACATCCAAAAACTGCATCAACACCGGAAATCATCAGAAAAATACAAGATATGGTATTGGAAGACCATCGATTGACTGAAAGAGATTTAACAGAGGTTTAGGCATTTCATGGGCACAGTGAGCAATATTTTGAGTGTTAATTTGGGTTTCAAAAAACTCTGTGCAAAATAGGGTGCCGCATTCTCTAACGATGGAGCAAAAACACATTTGGATGCGACTTTACCAGCAACATTTTGGAGCATTTTAAGAAGAATAAAAGTGACTTTATCTGTCGATTTATCACAATGGATGAGACTTAGTGTATACCATCATGAATCCTGAATCAAAACAGGAAGGCTAAGGAGTGGTGTGAACCCGGCTCTTCGGCGCCGAAGCGAATTCGTATGCATAAAATCAGCCAAGAAGGTGTTAGAATCAGTTTTTTGGGATGCAAAAGGAAATTTTGTTTATAGATTACCTTCAAACTGGCAAAACAATTAATTCAAATTATTATTGTAACCTTTTGAATCAATTAGATGAAAAAAATTTTTTCCCTATGTTGTTCATTTGCGGTTTTGCAGCTGAGGATGGTGGTTCGGTAAAACCATCGAAACTAGTCCTGTGAAAATTTTGAAAATAATAACGCTGATTTTTTTTGTTTAGACTTCTGAATTAGTAGATTTTCTGTGCATTACAAAAATGTGAGATTTATTATGACATGAAATATTGTTCCTAACAATCAAAACAAACTAAAGTAACTGATCAGTTTTTAAATGAATTTATATAATTTTCATACATAACTCTGATAGAATGGATGTAACTTTACTTTAAAATGTATGTAACTTTGCATTTATATTCAATTTTACTAATATTTTACATTTAAAAAATTCCTCATCTTAATCATTTTATCATTACCGCCATTCTGTGAATTCCTTCATGTAGTGAAGTTTTTAGCAGGATTCTGTGACTGGATTAAATAGAGGTTCGATTGTAATCCACAAACTGAAGACAAATGAGAAATGCCTTTAGAATGTGAGAATAACTTTGTAAAAAACAATCCACTGTCATTCATAAAGAAACGCTACTAAATATAATGAATTAATTTGCTCAATATTTGTATGAATGAAAAAAATTTCATAAATTTATGTTATTGTTTGACATAAATATCATACATGTATGTAAAATGTATGTAAAATGTATGAAAAAACGTTTACATTTAAAATTACTGCATATTTTTGCAATCACCCTGTACACATTCATACATGATTAGCTACAAAAAGTAATACAACGTACCACATACTTACAAAACGGCATCAGGAATGGGTCAACGCCAACACGACTTGCAACAGGCAAGACCTGAAGAAAAAGAAATACTCATGAATAAAATATTCTCAGCACCAAATGTATTAGAAATAATGCAATATACTCAAAAACTACTGCAGGATAAAGAGATACTCAAATCTCACAAACAAACAGCTTGATTCAGCATACATCAAAACTGTTTGCTTTAGGAAGTCATACAAAGTTATCATGCAAAAGCATACGGCTATTTGCCAGACAAGGGATGCTTTCAAAGTGAACATTCTAAGGAAAAATGGCTGGCATTCCTGTCACACAAGCAGAAAAACACAAAACTCCTATACAATCAATCTCTAGAAATTAAGGCTTGGGATGAATTATGAACAATCACTAGGCTTAACTAATTGGCTGCAAATGGGCGAAGTCACAATTCAGCTTAACAGATAATATTCTTATTAATACATGCATAGTTCCACATTATTTATGTAGTGTCTCGTTTCTTTTAAGGATGGATATTAAGGTACAAAACTGAAATGGATTGGATTATTCAGTTATGGCAAAGCACACAAGTGCTATCTGCCTAAAGGGAGGGATGCCTTCGTGGAGGACTTTCTTAGGGAAACTGGCTCATATACACGTTACACATGGGGAAAACCACAAAAATGCCCATGCAGCCAGCCCGTTCGTGGGATTTGAACCTCGGACCGAACTACCAGTGTTCAGTGTCTTTACTGCTCGGCTGCTGGTGGGCATGAACTGAAATGCAGAAGTAGTGTAAAAGTACACAACTTGCATGTAACAAAATCATGTTTCATGTAAATTTAAAATCTAGGAAAACATTACGTACTATAAGTCAATCTTTAACATCATACTTTGTCATTAATACTGTGCACCCAAAAAGATCGATTGTTAATAAAAACACAAAAATAATGAAATTATTTCAGTAAATAAATACTCACATTGCAAAGCCATTTACTCTCAGATGGAGTTTCTGTTAAACCTAAAAACAAATAAAAGATTATAAAACTTGAAAAAATTATTTAATATAACATGAAAGACGAGTAGCAATGATAGCAATGATGGGACGAGAGTTCTGTGTATGTTTTATCTCTGGTTTAAGGCTTTTACATGACTGGTAATTCCTTCTTTTTATAATGTAAATAATAAGATGTGAATGCATTTAAAAAAAAGTTATCTATTATAATACCAACACACATACCTTTAATGCTATGTTAGTTTTAAAGAAGAATAAAATATTTAAGACGCTAACAATACTTAGAAATATGGAATTTTGATTATACCAGTCCAATGGTTCTTGTCTATTCTAGCATTAGAAGGCTTAATTATTATGAAAGGAAATAGCAATATGCAGTTAGAATTTCGGTACATACAACAATATAACAAATTAATGACTATTTCATTATAAACATGAAATGCGGTATAAAAAAAAAGAAAAAAAAAAAATGCAGTACTCCTATGCATAAACAGGTTCTAGGGTACTTACATACTATGATGACTACCTCGCTATCTTGCCAAAACTGGCGACCCTTGTAGTTATACAGGTTAACCCTAACATAGGTTATAGAAGGTGCTAAAATAAGCAGTATTATCCCACACTTGCTATTACCACACCTTTTTTTGCTACATTTATGCGGATTTTTACGTTTAGGTTAAATACATGAAACTTTATGTGTTCACGTGAAACTTTACTTTATTATGTGTTTAGGTTAAATATGATTTTTGGTTTTTAAGTTTTTGTTCTTTCATAATTAGGGCTTTTATTTTTAACAGAATTTATAAACATAAACCAAAAAATGGCAATGAAGATTTTTATTGGCAAGTGTTGCCAAGGTAGTCGTCATAGTACGTAAGTACTGGTTCTAGTACAACATAAGCAAAATTTTATATAAGATTTTACATTTTTACAATCATTCAGTAACAATCACAAGTACATGACATAAAATTTAATGAATATTTAACCATTAATAATTATTACAATTTTAATTAATGCAGAAATTTTGGAAATATATAATATTCTTAAGTTCCTAAAAGAAGTATGTATAAAATGCTATCCGTATAACACATTTCCAAATCAGTTCCTTTAATTTAGTGTACAAACAGCAACTGCAACCAGCATAAAAAATTTATATGCTTTATTTTATAATTAAAATATTCAACTATGATATCAAAGTGATTTAAAAATAAATTATACAAAATAAAGTATGGTACATACCGCAACATTTACATAAAGATTCAACAATAATAAAAACATAATATGAAAATGAAAAAAAATTTTTCCTTATAACATGCAGAAAGAAAGCAAATTCATTTCTTTTTGCAAGAAAGAATTACTCTTCTTTTTTTTTAACAAATTTTCTGAAATATTTCACACATGAGAAAATAAAACGCATATTTTTTGAACAGCTTATCCATTTTAAAAGCTTAGTACTCATATAAAATAAAATGAAACATTACAATATTCAAAGTGAAAATGAAAAATTATAAACTACTTATTTAAGTACCATCTTTCATGAGTATCCAGTTGCCATCCAGTTGTTGCTCAGCTTGCAAGAAATACCTGCCATCTGTCCACAGAGCAGCATGATTTTCAGTTACAATAGCTGTGCCTAAAAATATATTTTATTATATTAGAAAGTTTTTTTTTCCCCCCAATTGTTATAAAAGTACGTTTAATAATTAAAAAAGTTCTTTAAAAAAATCTTTCAAATACAGAAAAATTTTCTTAGGATACAGCTAAAATGAAAGCAGGTGTTTTTAATACATTATAGTACATCAGTATACTTCTACATTCAATATATTAATTCATTTTAATATTTCTCAATATAAAGGCTTTGTTGCAAACTGTGGAATTGCTAGATGTTGCTGCCAGTTGAAAAGGAAAAGCCAACGAATGACATTTTGAAGATTTTAAATATAATCAACAACTGAGAAACTTTGCTTTTTGTTTTCCAATGTATTTGTTTTAAAAATTTTTGTTTAAAAAATTAAATTTTTGTTTCCCAATGCAGCGCATTAAAAAAGATAGATAAATACTTGTAATACAGGTATTATCGGTAGAGTTACCATGTGTCTCTTTTACCTTGCACCATCCTGTTTATGTCAGGCCTTAGGTTTCTGAAAAGCTCAAACTCAAAAATATCTTGGTTGTCATCACCCTTTAGCTATGGCATAAATAATAACCTGCAAAGAGCTAGGAGAGTTGAGAATTACTCTGTATGTTTTATGTACTGCTGAGTTTATTACTCAGAGATTTTAATCCTTGCTTTGTGACTGAGTAATTTCATCCTTTTAGTCCAGCTTTATAATTTATGATACCCATCTTATATTAAAAAGAAAATTAGCCCTATCTCTCAACTTTCTTTGAGCTACTTTAGCTAGTTTTCTTCATGTGGAAAAACTATTACTAATTGAAACTGCTATATAACTGAAAGAGCAAACGAAGAGGAAAATTCCAAAATGGAATTCCCAAATTCCTCTTTATTTGGCATGGTTATTTAAGGAGATTTTTCAAAAGCTTCTAACACACAGCAGTATGCATTTAAATGTTTGTCCATTTGAAATGCCTGTATTACACATCAAAAAACAAAACTGTACAAATGTTAAACACACCAGAAATCATCCAAATGACTTTATCAACTTTTCTAACAAACAATAAAATGTAATGATGATCTGTAGTATGATAATAAGGACTTTTTGAAAGAGCATTAATGATAAGAAAGAACCATTTAAATTTTAAGTTCTCAGAAGATAGCTTTATTAATATCATTACTAAATAAAATATGACCTTCATCAAGGAATTTTGGCATGAATTAGTTTTCAGCAAGAATTAGTTAGCAGTTAGTAAAGGGGTTCTGACTGATTTCTCTTATATTATCGAGAAATTGGCACTTTCCATAAACTTTTCTTTTTATACAAATTACCTGATGGGTACTAATTAGTCAACTAAAATTGAAAATTTATTTTTAATTGTTTTTGTAAGATAAAATTCCAAATATGTGACAAAAATCAACTCTGTGGACTGCAACCAGCCCATAGTTTACTTAAACATGTTGACATAGTGTTAAAACTACATGAAATATTATTTTTTAATTAAATTAAATAAATATGTATTGAAAAATATTTCTACCTGTTGAAGTTATAATAAATTTGGTAAATTTAGAACGTTTTGTTCATCTAAAGTTTGCAATTGGGTTCAAGCATCACCTCCATGGACAGAGGGATTTTTTAAAAAAAATGTTCACATGGCAACACTGTTAATTTCAGTCCAGTGGTGTTGAAGAGAGGCAGCCATTTTGTGTGCATCTCCATTGAGTACATATATGAATAAAGCTTTGTTTATACACAGAAAAAAAAGAAAGTTTCAATTCTAGGTGAGTATGTTTATTGGTTATCAACTCCATGACTTCTATAAAATGTGAACTATTGTATGTTTTTTTTTTTTTTTTAATCATGTTAGGTGTACATGCTGAAAAGATATAAAAAACTTAAACACCATTTTATACCATTAAAACTGTGCTTTAGCTTACACTGAAAATGTGGTTTCATCATCTCCATGGGCATCCTGTGGACAGCTTTGCCCATGGAGTTGTTAGGCCTAACTATAAGGTTAAATTTCTTTTATAGTAATAAATATATTATGTCAAGTGTATATTTACTGGCACCTACTTCTTAGATTTTACATATAAAATAAGTTATATTGCAATTTTTTTTTTTTTTTTTTGGTCTGATATTATATAAACATCATTATATGATTTTTAAGCAAACAAGATTTCCATTTCATTGGTGTAAATAAATTAAATTAAATACCATAAATAAATTAACAAAAAAAAAATTCTAGGTGCCAAACATAGAGATAGGCCTAAACTTGGTGACAATGAATGATGTTTCAACCAATTCAAAAAAACAGCTATGATAATGGACAGGGACGTAGCTAGCAGTAGGCCTAGTTGATTTAAAAGCTCTAAATTGAAAAATTAAAAAAATGAAAGGTTACATTAGATAGTAAAAAAAAATTTTTTTTTTTTATTTTAGATATGGCTAAAACCAAGAAAGAATGTGAGAAGTACAAATTAGCAAGGCAGAAACAGAAAAGAGAATGTGAGAGAAAAAGACGTGAACGTATTAAAAGCAACTCCAAGTTATATGAAGAAGCAAAGAGAAAAGAACGTGAATGGTACCATGCTCGAAAAGAAGCAGGCAAAATAAAATCTATTCATGAAATGACATCAGTTCAAGAGCAAAGAGCTAAGTGGAAAAGTTGGAAAGCATGTTCAAAGAAATACCTTGCAGCCAAAAAGAAGGAAAAATTACTGATCTTAAGTGTGGACAGTTCTCCTTCTAGTCCTGTATTATTACCTGTAGGCCTAAATGAAACTACAGAATTTCAAAATTTATTATCTCCACAGCCACAATATGCAAGTTCTCAAATACCTACAAACAAATACTCTTCAGGAAAATCTAGAAAAGAAAGTGGTAGGAAAAAAGTAAACAAGAGTAGGTCAGCTGCTTAAGGCCCGTCCACACGAGTACGCTCGAAATGTATCTTATTACTTCGCTGTTCTTCTGTATGTTTTGCGGCAAGTTGTCCGAATCAGATGATTTTTTTTATAGCTGAAACTTTACTATTATGTGCAATTATTAAGCAGAGGCAAAACCGCAAGAATGGGTCCGAAAGACTTATTTAGAGCGACCTGTTCAAAGAGATTTTTTTTTTTAAGTGCCTTGTTTGCGAAAGGAATATCTGGAATTATTAAAGTCCTACTATTAGTTCACACTCTCCCAATCCTGTTCAAATTTTCAGTACATAAATGCTTTTTATTCATCCACGCAAGTTCAAATACAATTTTTAAACTTGCAGTGAATGCACTTGATGTTAATACAGCTTTTTCACATATTAAATTTTTTAAATTTAATTTAAAAAATTATGTTTGTATTTTTATTTATTTATTTTGCATTTTTAAACTTTCTTTGTGGACCTAAGTAGGAATTGACTTAATTTTTTTTTGGGGGGGTATATTACTTGTTTTTAATTCCTTCAGGATGAGTATGACCAGTTGACAGACTTGCAGATTCTATATCGATGAAAATTAGGATTTATAAAATTGGTTTGGAATACGTATATAAGAGAATTAAATTACTTATTCTCTTTATATACACCATCCACCATATAATAAAACCAACTTCCTATTTTTTAACTCGCTCTCCCTTGGTCTTTTTTTCTTTTCATTTATTTTTAATTTAGAATGAGGTTCAAACTTTGGACAGTTATGAGAAATTATGTGCATGATAAACATGCAATAAAGTAAAAATAAAGAGAAATTTATAGATGATATATGATAAGAGATGCAGATATATTTTAGTAAGATTTCTATTGCATTGAACATTTTAAACTAAATTAAAACCAATAAATAATGAATAAAATAAGAAATGAAAACAATAATAATAGGTAAAATAAGAATATAATGATTCATGATTAAATATAAGAAACACGTTTCAAAATGAGAAAGCTAAGTGAATTATACCGTCTACGGCTGAGTTCAACTTGCCACCCCATTCCTCCGCACCAAGCAGCGCGCTGACCACTCACTATGTGATAGCAGTGTTGTGAAAAATATGTAACAAGTAGAAGTCGGGCAAAGGTAAGTAATTAAACTCAATAAATGATTGCTGTAGGACACAAGTTGTAACTTTCCTCCAAAATTCGTAATTGTATTTATTGCATCTCTTTCACAGTCAACTGCTTTATTTTAGAGTTATTATATGTGAAGTATTTTTGGTGTATTAATATTGGATATTTATGAGCTTTTTATTACACATGATAGCCAATATTTATAATAATTAGGAGAATTTTGTAAGGCAGAAACTGATTCGTAGAAATTGTATTTATTTAGGTCCTATTACTTACGGTGTTATAAATAGGTGAAGCATATGGATATATGGCGGATTTTGCTTTATAAGAATACAGTTTTCCCCTTTAATGAGAATTTTAAATGTACGGTTTGAGAAATCTGAAAATGGCGTGAACAATGCTGATTATTTTTTGCTGTATACATTATATTTCTAAGCAAAAATCACTCTGTGTGCTCTGACGCCATATTGAAACGGGTAAGCAAGAAGGTTTTCTGATTATGACACGTGATAAGAACTCGGTCGGCTATTGGCTATACGCACGCGTCGCGGGCGAAAAAGCTGATCAGGAGCGTACTCAGTTTTACGTCTTCTGCGTCCTGCGAATTTACGCCAGCGTCAAAAAAGTTATGTCAACCACGTCGGGAGCGTCCTCGTGTGGACGGGCCTTTACAGGAAAATAAAAAAAACTAGAGGAAGAACTAAAAACATACAAAGCAAAATGTAGCAAGTATAAAAGTAGATGTTATAGGGAAAAGGGAAAGTAAAACAAAAGAAGATGATCAACCAATAAAGTCAAGAAATTGCAAAAGGTGTGAGGTATCTTCTCCTATAAAAAGGAGATTAGTTTTTAATGAAGCAATGATTTCCCAAATGACTGATAATTTTCAGAAAGCAAGGAATAAGAAAGAATCTAGAAAATCTTTTCTCTGTTATATAGCTAGAAAAATTATTAAAAAGTATAAGTGCATGAATGAATTTTAAAAATATTCAAATTGAAAAATCTTAAAAGTAGAGATGGTAAAGAAAAACCCATGATTCAAGCCAAGTTGGAGCTGATTAAGCTAGATATTCAGGATTTTTTGGAAGATGATTCTTGCAGCACATCATGTCCTGGAAAGAAAGATACAATAAGTAGAAATGGGTTGAAGAAACAAAAACACTACTTAAATGATAGTTTGCAAAACCTTTACAAGGCTTTTTCCAATAAGTATACGCAATATTTTGTACATTACAGTACATTTTGCAAACTTCGTCCATTTTGGTGTGTCCAGAAAAAGGTAGGTAAGCGAGACACATGTTTATGTAGCCTTCATGAGAACATGAAACTCTTTGTGAGCGCATTAGAGCAACAGAAGATTATTTCTGAGAGAACCCCAGATGAACTTTACAAAAGTTTGTGCTGTGATACTAAAGAAAATATTGAGAAATGTTTAGTGAGGAACTGCAATGAATGTAAAAACAAAAGGATTAATTTCTTAGAATATTCAGAAGAAGACACAGTGTCATACGAGAAACGGTTTTTAAAAAAGTGAATATTGTGGCCAAAAGAATTTCCAAAACTGCTAAAAAGCATTCTAAAGATCAGATTAACTGTTCAGCTGCAGAACTGTTTCATGCCTTGCAATCAGAAATGCCAAAGTTCATGGTTCATTTTAGTAACATTTTATACCAGCAGAGAGAAGTGAAGCACATAAAAAACGATTGAAACCCAAGGAAGTGTTAATCCATATGGATTTCTCTGAAAATTATGAGTGTAAATACTCAAGGGAAATCCAGGCATTTCATTTCGGTGGTTCACGCCAAGTAAGCATTCACACAGTCATAGTTTACTACAGAAATGAATTGTCTACTGCAGTACTTACCAAGTCATTCTGTACCTTATCAGAAAATCTGAAACATGATCCTACTGCCAACTGTACCCACTTGAGTCCAGTACTTAAAAGAGTGAAAATCCTTGTCTTTAGCTTAAAAACTATTCATTTCCTCAGTGATGGACCAAGTACACAATATTGCAACCGAAAAATGTTTCATTTAATCGCCACACACTTTCATTCTGTCCTCTCATCTGTGAAAGAAATAACCTGGAATTACAGTGAAGCAGGGCATGGAAAAGGTGCACCAGATAGGCTCGGGGGGACTTTGAAGCGCACTGCTGATGTGCTAGTGGACAGAGGAAAAGACATTTCATGCTTCAGTCAACTTGTCTCTGAACTACAGAAAAATATTAAAAGTATTGAAATAATACCCATAAAAGAGTATGAATTCCTCACTTGTGAATTAAAAGAAGATAGAAATTATAGGTACAATGAAAGTGCACCAAGTCTTGTGGGCCAGAGCAAAACCTAACGTTCTGCGTTCAGAAGATTAAGCTGTTTCCTGTGTATGCCAACTGATATTTGTTCACACAGATATGATAAAGGAGTCCTATTGGTGTCTCCTGAGCAACCTGGATGTTCCAACTTAAATCAGCCTAAATCTCTTTTAAGAGACTGAAAGTTAATGATGTCTACTCTGACACAGATGACGAAATTCCTAGCAAAATTCTGAAAATGGATGAATGCAGTACAATGAAATTACCTTTGACAGAAGTTAGCTTAATAAATGCATATGTGGTTACAGAATTCACAGGGCAGAAAAAAACGCATCACTTTGTAGGGATGATTTTAGAAGAAGATGACTGTCAACAGGGTGGAAGCAAAATGTACCATGGTAACTTCATGTCTAAAATGCAGGAATTCTTTTTTTTCCATCTCAGAAGACTTGGCTTGGGTTTACTCTAGGGATTAAAACAGTTTTAAATTGCCCCTGTCTTACCCCACCGACATATATATTTTTTAAAGACTCGATTAAATTTTTTAATTTGGAGTAAACTGTTTAAAGATGTTTTTCCACTGTTTATTTTCTAAGTAATATCTATTCTGTGTTAGCTGTACTGAGTTTTATTTATTAAACCTAATACTAATTTTAAGTTATGACATTTGTACACTGAAATCGAGTTAAAGATGCTGAGGTTCATATTCGCTTATTTGAACAATATTCCATTGTGTGTCAACTCCATGGGCAATGAAAACTTAAATAATTTTTTCCTTGAAAAATATTTGTCAGCGATCTTGGCCATAGGCTGGAAAGTATTAAGAACCATATAGGAATTATGTAAAAAATATAAAAAATATTTTTGAAATAATTCCCCCTCCCCCCAAAAAATTGACATCTAAAAGTACCCCAATTTTTGGAGAACTACCCTTATATGTCTTTCAATATTTCACATTGAAAACTCATCAGTAAAAAGATAAATAATGACACAAGAGTTTACAAAGATCAAAATTTTGCCACCAGATATATATGTAATAAAAATAGCATCTCACCAGCACTGCCAGTAAACCCAGTTACATATGCTCTTCTTTCATCACAAGCTGCTATGTACTCACTCTAAAAATAAGGGAAAAAAATAACCTTAATTTTCTTAATTTAATTGCACTAAATTTTCAATTTGTGTTCCAGCATTAAAAAAATCTGATACTTTTCTGCTAACAAGATGTCACTTAGCGCCAAACAAAATGTTGACACTAAATGTAACTAGATGGAAGCAAATTTAATGTAAAGCTTCATGAAATAATGATAATAATAATAATAATTTGTAATAATAGTAATGTATCATATAATATAATATGTAAAATATTTGATGTGCACAATGCCGTATTTGTGCAATTCTCTGGATTTTTGTTTTAAGTGAAATGATTGTTGTGTACATGGGAAGAACTACAGTATTCATTAAAAAATCAGAGAATTGCAGAAATTCAGCATCATGCACAGCCTTCGTATAGTGCACATTAACCATTATATAACTCATGGCAAGATTTAAACAGGCTACAAAATCTGGAGTTTAGTGCACATTTGGCAACTAGTGTTCCATTAAACAAAATTATTTTTGGCAGGATTAGTTATCAACAAATAGCCACATATGAAACACCTATTAACAAACAACTTGGGTATTATTTATTACTACAACAATTATTTTTTAGTGCTTTTAGGATGCTATGAAAATTTTCATTAAATATACTATATATGCAGTGAATATAAACATAAGCAATATACTACAAATAAATACAATCATATTTGTACATGAATAATATGGAATATTATAGGTATCAATATAGTATTCTCACAGCAGTTTCAGTTATGAGCTTCAACCATGAACTTTTAGCTGTAAGCTTGTTGTTCTTGACAAATGCAAGGAACAGTGGGATGGAGGAAGAATTGCCTGAACAGAATTTTGCATGTTTTCTGAGATTACAGATTCTTCAGGTGATTTTCTTCGTTCACACCCTTACATCAAAATAATTACAGTCAAAAGCATGAGAATAACATTATATCTGAGTGTGATTACTTTACTGGATTGTCGGCAAATACAGGAAGTTTTCCATAGGAAAGCATAAGAAAAGTAGATGGTTAAATAAGAAATTTTGGTACTTTTCCATTTGGCCGAAGCAATTTTTCATTTCACCGGCACAAGCAATACAGTCGCCGAAAATGGTATAACTGATGCCAAACCGAATTTCCTCGCTCATAACCTTTCACGCCACATTTTCAAAACCAGTCGCTGCTATTGCTTATCAGATTCATCGTTTCTTTCAATATTGGCATAAAGTTACATAGAATTTTTTAAATTATAATACTGAAATAATTCTTACATTTAACCCATTAACGGTTTGACCCGTATTTTCTCGTTCTTTTATGTAG